ACGTTCTGCATGGAGCACTGGGTGTTATGCACAAACAATGAATCATGGAACACTACATCTAAAACTAATGATGTAATGTATGGGGATTAACATAACAATAAAAAAATTAAAAAAAAATAGAGAATAAATAATGAGGTACCTTTGTATCATGAAGGAGAAGGGGACATGGCTTTCATCATTTGGGAAACCAAATGAGATCCACAAAAACAAACCACTGCTTAGAAAATAGAAAAAAAGGTAGTAATATCAAGGGAAGATCAACAGTCAGCACCTGGATTGAAACCATGACCTTCCAAGTCCTAGAAAAATTTGGACTAGGCATAATTCCTGCTACTGCCCTACACTCCCAGCTTCCAGGTCTTTGTTAACACATTTGATATATGTAGTTCTCAAACTTTCATGTGCATGAAAATCAGCTGGAGGGCTTCTAAAACACATTTCTGGGTTCCAACCAATTTCAATTCAGTAGATCTGAATGGGACCAAAGAATTTCCATTTCTAATAAATTCCCAAGTGATACTCCTGCTGCTGGTCTGGGGATAATACTTTGAGAACTGTTGGACTATATCAGTGTTGTCAAGCCTGTCTGATGAAGATACTCATCTGGAGGAGCTTATTTTAAAAAATAAAGAACACTAGGTCCCATGCCAGACTTTCTGACTTATAACCTCCAGAGGAGAGACATGGATTTTCTATTTTAACAAACTTTGGATGATCAGTATAATTAGTTAAGTTTAGGAAATGCTACACCAAATCTCTGAGTTCACTTACAGCATCTATCATTTTCCCATGTGGTATCAATGGGGGGGTTTTGCAATATGGCAGTAATTGTATGATGAGTTAAGAGTAGCACAACTGGGTTCTGTAACCCTAATCTATTTGCCCTGTAGACCAAACATAGAACCTCAGCCCTTATTTTCATGAACAGATGGCCCTGGGAGACAGTCTTTCTTAATACCAACTGGCCCTGGTACCATGATGCAGTCCAGAGACCAACCTGAAATAGGCCCAGATCGTGTAGTCTTTACTGGCGACTCTACTACTTCTCTTCTGTTCCTTACTATCCCATAACCCACATCTTGCTCTGAATATTAATGGAGGCTCTAGCCTCAGGCTGTTTCCTCTTTAATGTCACAAGTACTTATGTGTGAGTTTTATTTCAAAACCACCTTCTCATTTTTTGCAGGAATATTCTTGCTGGCACCTGCAGGGGACATCCCATTGGTTCAGCAGCTGGCTGTTGGTAATTCAAGTTAACTCCTTAAAGGGCCATTGGAGGTTTGCAAAGAGCTTATAGCAAAATTGCCTGGGGCCCTATTATGCCTGTGTGCTGCTTTGGCACACACATGATTTCTATCTCTCTGATTCAAATAACAGCTGCTTACTCAAAATTGAGGTATCCTGTAAATGGCTTTCTTTGGGCCATCTTTTACCTCTGGGGACTTACAGTGGTCTTAAGAATAATGGCCTCACACGTGTCATCTCTAATCTTTGCAGCAACCCTATAAGATGGGTGTTACTCTGTTTTACAGATAATGAAACTGAGGCTAAGGGAGATTAAATATAGAATCTTCAAGGTCACATAATTACCTAGTGTCAGTCAGGATTCAAACCCAGGACTATCCAAACTTAAAGACTGAGCTGCCTCTATAAGACTACACTATTCTGCCTTTGAAGAAATGCTGGATGAAGTTGGAGAGCAATATTTCAGTTTGTTTTTTCTCCTTGAGTTTCTAAGTTTGCATTTAAACTTTTGCCAAGTGAGATAAGATTGTGGCGCTCTTTCTCAGCTTTGTCTGTTACCTCCACAGAATCTCTGCCAAAGCCAAGTGTAAATATATAACTAGTTCTGTGACTGGAAAGCCAAGCATTGAATGGTTATTCAGAAAGTGTGGCTAACTGCCTGCTTTAAGTAACATACAGATGGTTTGAATTATCCTGAATTATTGCTTTTGCTCAAACTCATAGCTCATTGTTGCACATATTCTTTGTGTTCTTTCTTTCACCAGCAAGGACTTGTTGAATGCCAAGTCTATGTCACACAACAGACACAGAGATGAGATACATATTCCCTGCCTTGGCCATGCAAAGAAGATGGGTAAATAAGCCAGCGAGTTACAGCACAGACAGAGGTTTTATCATGAAGACTTCCTGAAAGAACTGATACTTGAGCTGAAACTCATGAGAGGTGAGTTAGGCTTAATCACGTAGAGAAGAAAAGGGAGTATCCAGCATAGAAGGAACAGCCTGTGTGAAGCAGCACAAAGGCGTGGGATGGCAGTATGGCATTGCTGGAAAACAAGGCAGACATGGAAGAGGACACCAGAAGCTCAGGGGAGACTAGACTGTAGAAAGCCCTATGGACTAAGTTAAGTTGTTTTAACTTTATTCTGAAGGCCATAGGAAAATGTTAAGGATGTTAGGAAGGAAAATAACATGAACAGATTTTCATCTTATTAACAAAATATCACAGTGGCAGCAGCTGGAGATAATGGAAGGGTCCAAGACCAGATGTAGGACACAAGTTACTGGGGTAATTCAGATGGGACATGATGGAGGCGTAGATATAGACCATGGCAGTGAAGCTGGAGAGACAGATTTAAGAAATACTTGTAGATTTAACAGAACTTAAAGGATGGTTAGATATACAGAAAAGAGATGACGTCAATTGTTTGTTTTCCTTTGTTCCAAAGTCTTATTGAAAATATATTATTATCTTTTCCCTAATCCTTGCTTATTCTCTTAGTATGACATTCACTTAATTTGCTTGACTATCTCTTATTCTTCCCCAGCAGCAGCAGCATCACCCACTACCACCACGGCAGCAATCAGCAAGAATTTATGGAGCACATATTACTGATCATACTTTGTCCAATCTTGTAACAAATTTACACCCCTCTGTTTTATTCCTGCATTTCTATGAGTAGTCTCTTTTTGGTTTAATCTTGTGTTTTTAATGGCATTGTGTTTTCTTGGTGTGTAATTTTTTTTTTAAAGATTTTATTTATTTATTTGACATACACAGAAAGAGTGCACGTGCACAAGCAGGGGGCGTGTCAGGGAGAGGGAGAAGAAAGTTCCCTGCTGAGCAGAGATACCCCCCCTCCAACGTGGGGCTCAGTCCCAGGACCCTGGGATCATGACTTGAGCCAAAGGCAGCTGCTTAACCGACTGAGCCACCTAGGCGCTCTTCTTGGTGTGTAATTCCTTCTGCCCTTCCTGTGCCATAGCATTTCAGTGCTTAAGTTCTCATGTTTTCTATGTACACCTGTCATTTAAAAAATTATTTTCTCAAGGTAATGCTGCACAAATATTTCTTGTCCATTTTCAAAGCATTTAAAAGGATTCAACATTTAAGTTGTAAGTTAAATCAATAAACTAATGAAAACTATAATCAGCAATTACTAACTTTCATTAAGAAATCCAGTAAAGACTATTGTTCATTTACTAAGGCTCTGGTTTACTTGTTTCCAAAACAGAGTACACTATACTTTCCTCAAAGAATTCATAAGACGAAAATTTTCTACTGTCCTCATATGGGCAAATTATGTTCATTTTATTTCACAGGCTATCCATTTTCAGCAATACCTTAATTTATCTCTAGGTATAGAGTTAAAATCCAGCTCTATACTAAGGTAAGAAGAAATGACATAGCTAACTAAAAGACAAGTTATTTTATATGCAGACTTATATTTATCTCATTTATTCTTTTTCTAAAAGTAATCATCCCATACTCAACAAATATTTACAGTTGTTTTCTTCAAGAAGTATAAAAAAGACTCCTTTATGCCACTCAAATTTACAGACTAGACAAAATGACATAACACAGACTCTTAACTATAGAGAAAAAACATGGTTACCAGAGGGAGAGGTAGGAGGAGGGATGGGTGAAATAGGTGATGGGGATTAAGAGCACACTTATCATGATGAGCATTGAGTAATATATAGCATTGTTGAATCACTATATTGTACACCTGAAACTAATATAACACTGTATGTTAACTATACTGGAATTAATTTTTTTAATGGCATAATATCAAAGAGGAAGACTAAATAGAGAAACAATTGTCCACCCTTACCCATAGTGCGCATACCTAGTTGTCTTAAGCATTACTCACATAGATTGCAGTCTGGCCACTTAGCCTCTCCATCAAGTTTTTATTGAGTAATTTCTGTGAGCTTAGTACTGTTCTAGGCTCTGTAGGTACAAGAGATACATAAAACATAAACATGGGTCCTGCCCACAAGGAGCTTACAATGTGATTGAGAATTTTGTTAAAACAAAGTATAAAAGCTCTTAAAAATACATTTTGTACAAATTATTTTTATATAAAAAGGCACTTCAAATAATAAAAAAAATAAAGCCTTAGAACCTGAATGAAATGGAGAAACACTTTTATCCATGGGATGAGCTTAGAGATATTTTGAATTAACAAAATATTCAGTAAAAGCCTGGATTAATGAAAAATATGAGCACAAATATTTTTAAGACAACAATTAAACATTGAAGTATTCATCATCATTAAAAGTATATCAAGCTAAGTATATCTTACACAGATCCTTAAGGTACCTGAATAATTATCTTAGCAATAAGTTTCTTATGAGTGTGCCTCCAACTACTGAGATGTTGAAAAAAATTTTTTCTCTTAAATAGTTTATATGGCTCCTTTATAATCTGGGTTCTATTATTTAATTTTAAAAAGTCATTCTTATAGACAGTAAAAATGTGGAGTAATTCAACTCTGTCTGAATTTTCATATATTTCATGGACCAAAATCCACTTATAACTGTAAGACACATATACACATTTACATATAAAACATAATGACTCTAGTTTTCTCCTCCCTCCTTGGGAGAATTTGGATAAATGTAGCTTCTCATAGAAGCCTAATTTTCCAACCCTAATATTCCCTGTATGCCATTCCCTTATATGCCACTCCTCTTCACAATACCCTCTCCTGAGAGCAGCATAGTTGGGTGTTTATTTTTGTTTGTTTGTTTATTTCACATTGGCTTGTGGTGGTGCTGTAGGAAATCTGTAATCGGAGGGAGGTGGGAGTAGGCAGGAATTCGTTCTTCCAACACAAAAGTCACAGGTCTAAAATTACACAATATATTATATGTAGTCAAGAACCAAGTCTATACAACTCAGCTGCAAAGCATATTAATATCACGGATTTTTTTGCATATGTATTCCACAGAGCTCTACAGTAGGTACTATAATTACAATAAAACTGTAGATCAAGCCCTGTTTCTCTAACTCTTTGGCAGAAATTCATTTTATTTTGAGGGCTAGTTCTATTCTCATTGTAACCTCATTATGTAATTATGAGAATCAATGTTTATGCAAGATAGTTTAAAAAATGAGGAGGAAAGCACTTGTTAAAAATCAGTGTGTTGCTGAATCATGATCCTGAATATTTGAGAACATATGTTACAGAACTTATTATTTTGGGTGAATTTAATGAAATGGATACATTTCTGTGGATTAAAAATTAAAGCTTCAAAAGTATTTTATACATACATATACTGTCTTTCCATCAGATTTCAAACTAATTGGACAAAGATCATTCCTAATTATGTGAGAAATATCTTTACCAAATAGTCATTATTTTTCAAACTTTTCCAATCATTTTATTACCTTATGACATTCCCCTATAGAATTTTAATAAACATTATCATGTTAAACCACAAGTGATTATTCTGCCTGGATTAGCATTTTTATTTTTTCTTAAAGATTTTATTAATTTATTTGACAGAGAGAGAGACAGTGAGAGAGGGAACACAAGCAGGGGGAGTGGGAGAGGGAGGAGCAGGCTTCCTGCGGAGCAGGGAGCCGATGTGGGTCTTGATGTGGGGCTCGATGCAGGGCTCGATGCGAGGCTCGATGCAGGGCTTGATGTGGGGCTCGATCCCAGGACCCTGGGATCATGACCTGAGCCGAAGGCAGACGCTTAACGACTGAGCCACCCAGGTGCCCCTGGATTAACATTTTTATTTTTTATTTATTTTTTTTTATTTTTTTTTTAAAGATTTTATTTATTTATTTGAGAGAGAGAATGAGATAGAGAGCATGAGAGGGGGGAGGGTCAGAGAGAGAAGCAGACTCCCTGCTGAGCAGGGAGCCCAACGTGGGACTCGATCCCGGGACTCCAGGATCATGACCTGAGCCGAAGGCAGTCGCTTAACCAACTGAGCCACCCAGGCGCCCCTGGATTAACATTTTTAAATCAGAAAAGTTTAACATAAAATTTCCCAAGTTAAATAGCAACATGGAAATAAAGGGCTTTCTATCACATTCATTTAAATTTGCGACTGCTAATATTGTACATAAGTGTTACTTTTGTTGAGAATTTACCAAATAAGGAGCATCTTTCTTGGTGTCAAATACTGCACTAGTGCTAAGAGATCTATGAAGAAAATATAAGAAAAGGGTCCTGTCCACCATGAAATAGAATTTTTGTTAAGGGAAAAAGACATACATAATGAAAATATTTGAAGAATAATACAATAATCATCAAAATGATCACTGTGTAACTTCAGAGTAGCATAGAGTTAAGAAGAGAAAAAAGATACTTTAACTGTTCAAGACCCAAGGACAAGGTCAAATTTGTACATGTGGGAGAAGTGTAGGTTTTACATGGGGAAAAATAATCATGAGGTATTATAAGCAAGAACAGCATCAAGAGATTTGAAGTTGATTCTGTCCATGACATGTAAGCCTATACAATCAGGAAGCCAGTTTGTAGTTGAAATTGAGAACTCATATTATATAGCTGGAGATAAGTCTGGATAAAGAATTTATTGCAGTCAGTACTTACTGAGTATCTACTGTGTTAGACTCACTTTACATACATTATCACAATAACCCCACAGGTAAGTATTATTATCTTTAATTTATAGATTAATTCATTGAGATTCAATGCAATCAATTAAATTTCTCAAGGTCATGGAGTGAGTGAGTGACACAGCCAGATTTAAATCCAAGTTTCATTCCAAAACCCATGCTTCTATTACTACATCACATTGTCTTAGAAATGGAATATTATTGAAACAGATCTCACATCCCCACTGTACTATAGAAAGAAAATAAACCTGGAATCAAAGAACTTACACTGGATCTAAATTCTTACTTATATTAGCCATGTGACGTTGGGCAAGCCCTCTGCAGCCTTAGGCCTCTTTTGTACAAATAAAAAAATATATGGCAACTAGACAACCACATAGATGGATGATGGGCAGATAGCAGTAACAGAAGCATGGGCATTCTTATGATTGCTGGCAAATTCTACTTGCTCAATAAAACTCACTGAATTTAAACCTGAATAAAGGGATTGTGTCCGGCATCATCTGCGTGTGAGTTACATAAAGCCGTTTAAAATACAAGTTTGAATGAAAATAATTGTGGTTTCCAGCTAACCCGCAACTGACTCAACTATTGAAAGGAATGACTCACTGTTTTGGTTTAATCTAGTTGGCAGGGAGGACGGTGGAGCCGCAGTATATGCTCCTATGGCAAAACTACTGATACCATATTATCGTGTCTTCCTAAGATGTCCTTGTAGGTGACAGCATGGCCCTTAGTACAGTGCTTAAAGAAGGACACTCAATAAATATGTGTTGAATTAAGTGAATGAGGAGAGGAAAAAGAAGGAGGAAGGTGCGGGGTTGGGGAAGAAAGGCAAGAGAAAGAAAGATTGGTTGAATTTACAAACAGGAAAGGACATTAGCTGAAAGACATCCAATGACTCAAAAGTATTTGTTAAAAGCTCATAGAGTTTCTCATTTCAATTCAGATAAAATAGATTTCTTTATTTCTCAAAAAGTAATTTGATATTGAATAACTATGTCACTTATTAATTTTACCTTTTTGTACGCCACGTGGGAAGAAAGTTTAAGAAATCCTGAACAGATAGTGGTAAATCAGAGGGCTGTGCCTGGATTTTTATTGCTCTAACACAACAGCTAATCATGTAGCCTCAGTATTGTTTCCTGTGACATTTCAGGAAAACCCTTAGCTGCATCCACTTCTTTCAGTCTTCAAAGACAAATAACACTTACATTGATTGCTGAGTTACACAGTGACACATAACCAGAATACAGACCTAAAGATGTTTAGTTCCAAGCTTAGCCCAGAGGGACACGGTATCTCCAATACATTCATCACACATCTGGCATAAGTATCTTTTGTCACGATGCCCTCTTGCCTCCATCCGGCACCCTCTTCTATCCCATTAAAGTTTATGTCCTATTAATTGAATTCTTTCTCTCAAAATGTTGACTTTTCACTGTTGAAAGCTTATACTGATTTTTTCAAACTCATTATAAAATCAAAACTACCATAAAATGCAAAGATGTCCACACTGGTTGAGATTCAGGCAAAGGTTTGAAGTTGCGGGAAAACTCCTAGAAAATGGGTTTTTCTCTCACTTTTTCACCAATCATTATCTGTGAAATCACCCCCAGCTTCTTAAAAATGTCCTCAAAACCTAGTCCCAGAAGCCAATTTAACACTCAAAGGCACAAATTATGATCATAAACCTGCTTTCAGTGGGTATTACTGGCAAAAAAAAACATTAAATTTTTTAAAAAGATGAAAATGAAGAAACAATCCAAATCAAACATAAATTCTCCTTCTCAGGTGGGAAGAAACACACAAACTCAGGGAAGCAGGAATTTCAATAAAAAGTCAGCTCCGTTCTTTCATTATCTGTTAGAATAGAGAGAGAAAGATGTAATAAGCATGGGTAGGGGTACTTTTTTGGTATGGTGTGAGGAGAAGGTGTAAGTGAGAAATACATATGTTTTAGACATCGAAACATTCTTGTTTGAAGTAATTACATGTATGTTTTGTAAATAAAAGCAATTTAAATAACTCTGGTATTTTGGATCACTTAAGCTTCTGAATTATTTAATTATGCTAAGTATATTTTTTTATGAGTAATTTTTCTGGTTTCCAAATTTGTAGTCCAGTAGAATAATCAAATCATGATGCTGTATCAATTGTAGACACATTGAGTGGTCAAATAATCTTGCCATAAAAACAAGCCCCAAATCAGTGTATAACTATACCCTAGAAGGATAAAAGGAAGAAAGCAAATTGAAATAACTATGAAATACAATTTTTCTCCTATCAAACCAATGGGGTGTGTGTGTGTGTGTGTTTTAAAATAATATACAGTGCTGGTTAGGGTGAAGCAAAGCAGAAATTCTCCAACATTCCTGATGAAATTTCAAATCTCTATAGTTTTCTGGAAAGCAGTCACACTATATGCATCTTTAAAAAATATTAAAAATTTACATGCTATTTATTTCCTAAAGTAAACTTCTGATAAAAACAATCACAAATATTTTTAAATTGCATTTCAGTCTTTAGGTAATGATATATTTCCATTCGTTGTGGTGCCAAATTTGAACACAGATTATGATTAGTAAACTACAATGTATTCTTTTAATAGACACATGTAAGTATTAAAATTACTTTTTAAAGAATTTATAAATAGTCTGGGAAATGTTTCTTTTATGTTAAATTGGGTAAAAACAAGATACAATATGCACATATAATATTTCCTAAGTATGTAAAACAAAATCAAGGAAAGTGCAGGGGAAAAAGATGAAAAGGAATTTACTAAAATGATGGTGAGATTTTCTTGAGTAGTGGAAGTAAAGTTTAAGAAGCTGCTTTTCTTTCTAATTTTCCTTATTTTGCAAAGTTTCTGTAGAGAGCCTGGCTTATTTTCATAATGAAGGGAAAGGACAATAGAATTTACTTTAAAAATTAAAAATGAAATGAGAATGAGCCCACCAATAAAGAAATGGGAACTGGATATCTCCCTTCTTTTCCTTTCATTTGTTTTCCAAGGAAATTTGTGTTTACAGAAAAAAAAAATGCCCAGAATAGGTGGATTACATGCAGATATTTAAGAGAAGGATGTAGGACCATAAAGGTGAGTTGAGTAAAAATTTTATTGGCCCCGGGACTTAAGCTATGTTCCAGAATCAACCAGCTTATTGGTATCCTTTAGGCATTGTTGCACGCTACATCTCTATTGAAAAACACATTTTGATCTTCCCCTGAGAGACAGAAGTGATTATCTTTTAGTTACTTCAATCATGGGAGAACAAATGGCCAAAGACATTGAGCTGCTTAAATGTCCACATCCGTCTTAACAACTTACATGGAGTAGTGTAGTCATTGAACCCAGCCTCACCCAGGGAATGAAGTAAAATGAAAATGCTGTCTGTCCATTACAATGAAGAGTTCAACTTATTTGAAAAGCCAAGTACGCTATGTTTGAAAAAACATAATTAAAACTTCTCACCTTCTTTCATTAAAACAAAAAAGATCACACAGTAGAGTAATACCCAGATGACCATTTAACCCTACAGTCAATAACAGAGATATTGAAGTAAGGTGTTTGAGGGAGGAAGCTAATGTTTGAAATTTAATATGACCAACTATGCATTGTATTCAGCATCATGTTCTGCTTTCTAGAGTGTCCCTTCATTGAAGTACACGTTTTCTACAAAGCAGGTCTAGTCAAAGGGCAAGCAAGAGTGTGCTGACCATGTGGGAAGTACACTGAGCTCTGATGTCAAATCAAAACAAGGTAGCTTAGCCTTAAAATCCTCCTGGACTCTGTTCTTCATATGAAAAATCAGTGACATGCAGGATCTTTTACTGCATGAGACTTGACCAGTCACAAGATCAGCCTGGAGCCAGTCTGAGAATCTTAGTTGGAGGAAATCTAAGTGAAGTTGTAAAAACAATTCCTCGAAGGAATCTAGTCCTCCTAAATCAGGTGTGTGTGCTTAATTTGCACTTTGGTTCTTAGAGATATTCCGTCCTTGTCCCACGAAGGCAGATCAGAGCAGAGATGGGGGAAGGCTATGTTGTAAATCTAGACAGCTTCTAAATCTCACCTTTCCAACTGGTCACTCCACATCAAGGTTGAGGAGCACTGGTGGGGTAAGGAGGTGGAGCTGGATGCATAGTTGTTTGTGTGGTGCCTGATCTGTGAACAGACAGAGGGTTTCAGTGGACAGAATTATTGATGATGACTCCTTTTGTCAGATGACTCTTCCTTCAACATTCTTAAAGAGAAGCAGAACCAAACCTCTATACATCAACTTGCATTGGCCATAGCCAACTAAATAAGATATTTTAGATCTTATCTTCCCAAGACTATCTCATTTCTGCCTCCAAGCTTTGACACACCCTCTATTTCCTCTTACAATCTCACACCAGATATTACACAAGGGTAGAGACCATGCCTAGTATGACTTCTAAATCCCTAGAGCAGTTATCACAGCACTTGTTAAATACTGAATAAAAACTCACTGGCTTCAAATGATTGGTGTAGGTAAATCCAATTCTACCACCTTCTAGCTTTCAGTGACTTTCTGTTCCTCTTAGGATAAAGACCAAATTCTTAACAGGACCTCAAAGGTCCTATCTGATCTAGCCTCTGCTGCAACTCCAGCTTTGTTTGCTCAGACTGCACTAGCCATCTATGAATATCATGAACAGTGTCATTCTTCTTCCTACCGCAGGGCCTTTGTACTTGAAGCTTCCGCTGCCTACGGTATTCCTCCAATTCCCTCACCAGCTGGCTGACTCCTACTTGTCCTTCAGATCTCAACTTGGAATATCACTTCTTCAGAGAATATCCTGTTGACTAGGACTGGCCCCCCCCACTATGTGATACCCACTATTTTCTTTTCAGGAGCTCATTGTAGTTTGGAAACAAAGTTATTTTTGTGATTATTTGTTTAGCATTTGTTGCTATCTCTAGACTACAAGTTTCATGAGCTCAGGGACCATGCCTAGTTTTGCCCACCATTGTGTCTCCAGCAGCTACCACAGTGCCTGGCACATAGGTCATGGACAGTCAGTATTTGTGGCATGAATGAACAATGCTGTACTATTGGCTGAGGCCCATCCCTGAACAATATTCTCCAAATAATAGCTTAAATTAATTGGATTCAATAAAAAATACTAAGAAAAAAATTCCCTTGGTATACATTTCTCACTAATTCTCTTACAAGAAGTAGCAGAATGAAATTAAATTCTCACAAAGAAGTGTTACAAGAAAAAACAGAAAGAAATCAAATTCAATGTTTCCTTCGTCAGTCTTTTTTATTGGATTCCTAGAGTATTTTTTCCTTCAAAAGTTTAGTTAGATCATTTTAAACAGCATGCGCATGCCCATTTCAAGTAGCATAAATGATATAAGCTATCCAGACAGACATGTAGTTCTCCAATTCCTGACTGTGTTAAGCAAATAGATAATTTCGGTTTTAGGAAAGCAGTGTTATTTGAAGGACAATGAAATGACATGTCTTCTTTGTAACACAAATTACATTTTGGCCAATTTCTATTTCAGCACAAACAGAAGAAGTTCAGTGAAACTTTTAATAGAAATATTGAGCACTACATCTGACACTAATGATGAACTATATGTTAGCTAATTGAATTTAAATTAAAAAAAACAAATATTGTGGCTCTGGAAGAGTGGTCAGAATTAAGGTCAGAGTAGGAAAAAAAAAACAACAACAGGATTTTCTATTTATTCTCTGAGACTTTCGGAATCCCCTGTGTGTCCCTGTTAAAGAACAATCTAGTTAGATTGGGTAGCTGCCCTAGAGGACCACTAGGTTTTTCTCTTCCTGCCATTATGCTACTTAGATTATTGTTTGGAGGCCTGCTTTAACTTAATACTTGGGGTTGCATTATTTGTTGGCTTAACTTGAAAAGCAGATACAACTGTAGGAATCTGGATATCATATGTCTGTCCAATGTCAAGTTAGCAGAAAGAGAAGGAACTGAAGGGGCGCCTGGTGGAGCATGTGACTCCTGATCTCAGGGCTGTAAATTTGAGCCTCATGTTGGGTGTTGAGATTACTTAAAAATAAAATCTTTAAGAAGAAGGAACTGAAGAAATGAAGCGCTGCAAGGTAACATGGGATAGAGCCGGGAATGGGAAGCATGGTACAGTGCCCTATTGCACTCTCTAAGCCACTCATCCGGTGGGCCTTATTTCCCTGGCAAACACCCCGTGATTCACTCCATCATTCTCAGAAAACTCTGTTTTACCATCACACCTAATATTCTGCAGCTAACTCTGGCCCCACAGCCAGTGGATCATTCATTTCATGCCAATTTTCTCTCCTATGTGTCTCTTTTATTTTACCCCTTCCCTCCAGTCTTTGTGCCATTGTTCAGATTCTCACCTCCGTTCTTCTTGGCTAGCAAATCAGTTTGAACTATATGAAATTGACATTTTTTTCGGATCAAAAATGGTTGAATATTGGAAATTATTTATGATTTAACCTAGGAACAATTTTTAACTAGTTAATGTTCTGACCCAAGTCTTTCTCCTCTTGAACACATCCTTCATATTCTTTTTTTTTTTTTAATTGAGAGAGAGAGCGTGCTCAAGCAGGGGAAGGGACAGAGGCAGAGGGAGAGAGAGAATCTCAAGCAGACTCCATGCTGTGTGGGAGCCCGACACAAGGCTCTATCCCACAACCCTGAGATCATGACCTGAACCAAAATCAAGAGTCCCACACTTAACCACCAAACGCCCCTCATATTATTTCTAAGGCAAACCTTGGCAATCCTAAATATCTTTGAATGTTCCCCAATGCTACAAGATAAAGTTCTGGAGTACCGAAGACCCACTGCTGAGTGGCTCCAACCTGTATCTCCAGGTTAATCTCTAATCTCCTGCCTCTCCCCTTTATGGGAGCCTTGCTTTAGTCCCTAAACTATGCACTCTGAGACTTGCCAATGTTTTTTCACACCTGATTACTGTGGAGTTTGCTCTTACCTTTCTAAAATGCCTCTCTCTACTTCTGTCCAAAATACATTCTACTTACCCTCCAAGCCCCAGCCTTTCATTTTCTTGGAAAAGTATTATTTCGTTTATTGTATTCCTATAGCATTGTACACATTAGTCAAATTATACTTAGTCTGTCAGTTTCTCAAACTCTAATTCGCCAAATAAATGTTTGTGACTAAATCAATTTCTAAGTAACTGACTGGCTCTCCTCAATGGTCAACAGTATGAGACAAGGACTGATCAAATTTTTCAGCACCCACAAGAACCTACTATATGTATGTCACTTTTTCAGGTGTGATAATATGTTCTTATATTAAAAGTTTCCCTTGGCTTAGAAATGGGTAATTTCTATATCCCCCACATTTCCCTTAAGAGTATCTATTGTTACATTTTAACTAACTATATATATTGCTCTTCTTCCCAAGACTGGGAAGAAGGCACTTAGGCACTTAGTGCACATTTTTGAATGACTGACTGACTGACTGAATGAATGAATGAATAAGTGAGGACTGTCCTAGGCTGAGTACTCCCAGAAGCAGAAACTAAGACAAGGATTTGTATGCAAGTGACTTATTAAGAATGTGCTCCAAGAAAAAAAGAAGATGAGTAAGGAAGTGGGAAAGTAGGACACAGAGGGAGAAGCCAAGCAGGAGTGAAATTTTAAGTGATTCCAGCCTCAGTCTGAACCTTTGGGAAACTCCGGAGTATAAATTACATGTCAAAGTTTGTTTCACTTATTAACCAGGGGTGTAGGCTTTTCTACTCCCACATCCATCAGTCATGGTTGCTTTGGGGGGAACAGAACTCTTAGGCCCTTCTGGCTCTGCCCTTGTGTGAGCCTCTGAAGGTCACAGTGTGAGCAGTTCGCAGCAAAACAAGTAGAAGCTGGGAATGGGTACATAGAACTGCTATATGGTATCTCAGAGGTTCTGGGTAGGACTCCAGTTTTGTGGGATACACTACCAGCCACATATTCAGCAAGTTAAGTTTAGCTGGTGGTAATGGAGGAGGTTGCTGCGTGCCTAGATTGGAGAACTCTGGAAAGGTTGTCCTGTTGAAAATAATCTTCTCCACTCCTGCTCCTGATGCCTAGGATCTCCTTAGCTAGGGACAAAACTTTTTAATCTATACTGAGAAGTGATATTTTAAAAAAGAATTCCCTCGGGTGGCAGAGAGAAAGGGTCAAAACCCTATGTAGAACCCACTAAAGCTCAGGCAATGGCAAACTTTTTTAATGCTTTGCCCCTTTAATACACTGGTTTTCATCCACACTCAAGTATGGGTCTTCCTGATTGTGTAGGATGTACAGGCCCTGATGTGCCACTCTTAAATATTTTACCCCTTGTCACCACGAAGATGTTGTCCTTTATGCTGCCCAAGATTTTCCTGCTCAAAATAAGTCCTCTTCCTCCTGTTTCAGCTAAGCTCATAGCTCTGTGTGTTCTTCCCAAATTACCAAATATGTATGATACCCAATGTGCCAACGATGCTGGTCTCTCTCTGGATAGGAGAGCCCAAAGATTTCAGTTAGAGCAAATTTATTTTCTAAGCCATATTACAGGATATTTTTAAAGATTCTAGTTAAGATAGAAAAGACTCCGTGTGTGTGTGTGTGTGTGTGTGTGTGTGTGTGATCTTCAATTTGAATTTGCTTCTTGGGCCACATTATGTTCCTATGGAAATTGTGATAAAAACATTGATGTGGAAGTAGCCATCCCACAGACACCTGAACACAGCTAGTTGTTTTGTCTCCTGCCATGGCTTGCTGGTGGCCCCTGGGCCGTCTGTGGTTTGGCCGCAGATGCCTGACACCTGTGTTCCCGGAGCCGCCCTGCCTCTGTTGAACACTGCGTTGGTCTGTCTGTGAGGCTCCTTCCAGAATAACCCAGCTGTACTCCATGGCTATAGTACCTCTTTAGCATGTCATTAGTGTCCTCGGATGAGACACTCACCTCACAGTAGCTCACTAACTTCTCCCTTCCACTGCCTGATCCTGACCAGCATGGGAGTCTGCACTGTTTTCTTCAGGATTTCAATGCCAGATCCATAACACGCTGTAAAGTCTGGCTGGCTGGCTGGCTTTCTGAGGAACCCAGATAACTATTCGATAAGTACTTACCTCCTATCAGCTCTAATTACCTGTGTCCTTGTTACAGATCACCTGCCCCCAC